GCACGTACTGCATCCCCAGCATGTGCGCCATGTTGTGGAAGTGGTTGTTCTGCGCGGATGGGGTTAGTCTTCGTTCGTATGAGGAGGAAGGGAGATGGGGGCGAAGAAAGGGGCAGGCAAAAAGTTTTTTTAAAAAAAAAAAAAAAAAAACAGAAGAGAGAGAGAGGGGAAGACGGCAAAGCGGGAAATGGGAAAAGGAAATTCAAGAACGGAAGGAAGGAAGGAAAGACGGTAAACGGCATGCAGCACGGTAACGGGAGCACGGTAGCACGGTGGAGGAAGGCGGCAACAAGGAGAAACGGCTACACGGTAGCTGAGGTATGTCGTGGGTGAACGGGGGAATGGTGGGAAGATGCGAGGAGAAGGATACGGTAGAACGGGTGAAAGACGGTGGTGCGAAAACCGAAATCGAAATCGAAGAAAGGGTGGACGGAAGGAAGGACGGGAGAAGGGGTGGATGGGTAGACGGGTGAAGACGCAGGACGGGTGCGCGGTCGAAAGGAAGGAAGGAGACGGGTACACGGGTACAGCAGTGGCCCTCGAAGCAGGCAAGCACGTCGCCGCCGGCTCCCAGCTCGCCCACCCAACCCAACCCAACCCGTCCCGTCCCGTAACGCAAAACCAAAACCAAAAAAGTACAGCAAACCGACTCCCAAAGCCCAAAGTCCAAACAACGAAAACGAAAACGAAAACCAGACACAGACAAACGAACTCACCCCCTGCGCCCCCGTCGTCACCAGCTCCACCACGGTCGCCCTCCCCGTCGGCAGAAACAGACTCAAGCCCAGCGCGCCCGCGTGCACGCTCACCACGACGTCCGCGCGCCCGACCGCGCCGAGCTGCGTCGCGAGCGCGCTCGTCGTCGGGTCGAGGGTCGCGAAGCGCAGCGCGCGCGGGGGTGGCGAGGGGCCGGCGCGCGTGCCGTGCGCGTGTGCGTGCGCGGGGGGTTGGGGTGAGTCGTGTGCGGCGTTGGTCGATACGTCAGCTTCAGCGCTCGTGTTCGCGTCACGCGCACGCTCACGCCGCTCGTCCACCGCCCCCTCCGTGTCCCTGCCTCCTAACCGTGAGTCAGGCGTCGTCGGCCCAGATCCAGTATCCGCATGCACAGCAGGCGCCGGCACCCCCCGCCCCAGCCCCAGCGCCCGCGCCTCCCGCGCATGCATCCGCACGCCCCACGCCGCGGGCAGCGCGTCCGCGTCCGTGTACGTGCACCCGTGCGCTCCCCGCCCGTGCCCGTGCTCCGTCACCACCGCGCCGGGCACGGGCGTGACGGCGCGACACAGCGACGCCAAGCCCGCGCGCAGGCCGGCGACGAGCGCGGCCTCGTTGGCGATGTGGCGCGCTTCTTGCCAGGGCGTGAGTTTTTTGGACTTGGAGGAGTGTCTGTGGGGGAGGGGAGGGGTCAGCGGTGTGATTTCCGTCTTCGTGATGCAGCTAAGGGAGAGAGGGTGGACGAGGAAGAGGGAGTGGGAGGGAGAAGGAGGGGGGAAAGCGTAAAAGGGGAGAAGTAGAAGCAGCACACGCACTTGGTCCACATATCAAACTTCTCCCTCGACAAGAACAGCACCTGGATCGGCGTCGACTGTGGCAGGCCCGCCTGTGTCGGGGCGGGGGCCCGCCTCCCCACCGCGTCCGCGTCAGCGTCCTCTCTTTCTATTTCAATTTCTACTTCTTCATCCCAGCTCGCATCCCGTCTGTACATCCCGTCCCTACCCTCTACCCTCTCCTCCTCGGCATCCGCACTCGCCGACGCAGAAGTAGAGGAAGTAGTAAGAGGTGCGAACGGCGCCGCCCCCTCGAGCCCCCACACCCACCTCAACCACAGCCCCGCGCCCCACACGAGCTCGCTCGCGCACGTGTGCAGCCTGCCGACGTCCGTGCCGCTGAGCAGCGACGCGCCCGCGCCGACGGAGTGGAACGACGGGCCGAGGCAGGTGCGCCCTGGATGGAATGAAAATGGAAGGAGGGGGCGGGTGAGTGAGTGAGTGAGGATGCAGATGAGAATGGAAGGAAGAAGGAAGGAGGAGGAAGGAGGAGGAAGGGATAGATGGAGATAGAGATAGAGATGGGGACAGGGATGGATAGGGAAGGAGGAGAAGAGGGACGAGCACAGACGTACACACGAAAGCGCGCGCGCGTGATGGAATTTAAAAAAAAAAGCCAAATCGACTCACCCCCGTCCATACCCAAGCCCTCGAGCCCCATGCGCCGCGGGACGCGCGCGCCGATGCGGTCCCAGAGCGGCGCGAAGAGGTTCTGCGTGGGCAGGAAGGCGTCGGAGAAGACGAGCTGCAGGGCGGCGGTGTGCGACAGCGCGTGCGTCAGCTGCGTGAGCTCGTGCTTGAGGCGGGTGAGGTGCGCGGCGGAGGGGGCGGTGGCGTTGGCGGTGGAGGCGTTGGTGTGGGAAGAAGGGGAGGACGGGGAGCTGTGGGAGGAAGCAGCGAGCAGGGAAAAGTACGTCTCGGGGAGGGCGGCGAGGAGGTGGGCGTTCGTCGCTGAAGCCTCAGTCTCAGCACCAGCGCTTGAGGGCCCAGAGAACCAGGAGCCGAGGCCGCCAGCAAGCGGCGGCGGCGGCGGGGGCGTCAACGAGAACAACGTCAGCGCGAGGAAGGTCGTCACCAGGTCCTCGCCCACATGGAACGGATTCCACCGGTCCTGCCGCGGCACGAACAGCACCGGGTGCGTCACGTTCTCCGCGCACCCCTTGTCCCCGCCCCCGCCGCCCCCGTTCTTACTTCGCCCGCCCTCGGCGGCGAGCAGCGCATCGGGCTCGATGAACTCGGTGCCGAGGAACGCTTCGCGGCCCATGGCGTCTTTGAGGGCGCGCCCGGCGGGGGTGAGGGCGCAGGGGCCGGTGAAGAGGCCGCGCTCCTGCATGGGGCCGCCCCAGCCGGGGGTGTGCGCGAGGTGGTGCGCGGCGCAGAAGGCCTGCGGGTACGGCCACCAGCTGTTGGGCGAAGAGGGCGCGCGCGCGGGGAAGCAGGTTATGGAGGCGGCGGATGTGTCTGTGGGGTCAGCTTGTATTGGGAGCCGATGAATGAATGTATTGAACGCACCGCGAGGCTCGCAATAGGGCACGGCAGCTTTCATGTACCCCTGCACCATCGGCACGCCGAGCTGGCCGCCACACGTGTCGAGGCCGCGCGCGCGGATTTCGGCCTGTGCGCGGGCGAGGAAGAGACGGGCATGCAGCGCCGGGTGTGCGTCGCGGAAGAACGGACTCGCGGGCCCGTCGTCAGACCAAGTAGTAGGGCTATCGAACTGGAGGGTCTCTACATCCGCTTCAAAGTTGTACGAGTCCGAGGTCGGTAGTGAGGAGGACGAGAAAGACGAGGCAAAGACAAAGTAGACGACGAGGGTCGAGCTGAGTGCGAGGACGGCGACAAAGGGGAGCAGACGGCGGATGCGGGTGGGGGGCGCGGCGGCGAGGCGGGCAAGGAGGGTCTTGGGGGGATAGGAGGCACTGGTGGGCAGCGGGGAGTAGGGTCCGCTCATCGTGGCAGTTCAACGGCTTTCATCCCCGCAGAATGTGAGAGGGCGGTGCGGGGTGGGCGGCCCGGCCATCAACCTCTCCAATGCCCCTGATTTTCTCCCCTGGGGCCTGTTCTCATGTCGCCATCCTGTGAATTTACTGCGGTCAAGATGCAAACCTTAACTCTGTTCTTATTTATCCTGGTAAAACACACTGTCCTTTCAGCTAGTGCTCTTTGAACACCACGGTCGCTCGAAGAGATGACTTGGTTTCACGGCTTTAATGTGTAGAACTCCTTCGCTTGAAGTTCGACTAAATAAATAAAAAACTTCCATGTCCCATTCAACCAAGGCTCGGGCTCGATTCGAACGAGCGTCTTCTGTGTAACCTTCCTGGATTCTCTCAAGTCATACAGATGTGGACCTTCCACCACCGAGCCTTATTCCTCTTGCAACCCAGGGTCTGTAGGTGAGCAAATCTTGGATGGGTTTGAAACCCAGTGTGAAGTGCAAAAAAAAAGAGTAGGATGCAGTGGCTGACAATGGCTCAGACCCGAATCGAACGGGCTCCTTCTGCATGAGGTATCCAAATGGTATAGGGACAACAGACGTGGACCATCCACCACCAAGCTGATACTAGCTCTGTTGTTAACTTGGCTACGCACCCAACTTTTGGACGCATAAATCACGCTGCCGTTCTGAAGTGACCTAATAGTTCTGAACACAAAAATTGCTCCGAGATATCGCTTACGTGGGTAAGCATTCCCAATCTATGGTGCGCAGGGGAAACCAACTTCTCTATTCTGCGACCAAAAGACAGGGGAACAACGAATGGCTCGGGCTCGACTCGAACGAGCGTCTTCTGCTTAACCTCTTTTGGGACATCAGAAGTCATACAGATGTGGACCATCCACCACCAAGCCTTACTCCTCTATGCAACCGAGTTCCTTAGGTGAGTAAATTTCTTAGGGGTTCGAGTCGAATTCAACTTGGAAGCACGAAAAAACAAGTTCATTGCATCCTAGATTGAAATGGCGTGGACCCGAATCGAACGGGCTCCTTCTGCATGAGGTATCCAAATGGTATAGGGACAACAGACGTGGACCATCCACCACCAAGCCGATATCCACACTGTTTTCAACCTGGCTACACACCGAATTTTTGGACGCATCAAGCTGCCACTCTGATCCTTCTGAAGTGACCTAATAGTTTTGAACACAAAATCGCTTCGAGATATTGCTTACATGGATAGGCATTCCCAATCTAAGGTGCACAGGGGAAACCAACTTATCTATGCGACCAAAAGACAGGGGAACAACGAATGGCTCGGGCTCGATTCGAACGAGTGTCTTCTGCTGAACCTCTTTTTGGGACATCAGAAGTCATACAGATGTGGACCTCCCACCACCGAGCCTCACTCCTCTTGCAACCAAGGGTCTGTAGGTGAGCAAATTTCTTCGGGGTTCGAGTCGGATTCCACTTCAAGTTGCAAATATGAAAAAAGCAGTTCATAGAATCTCGAATCAAAATGGCTTGGACCCGAATTGAACGGGCTCCTTCTGCATGAAACACAAGCTTTTTTCCCTTTTAACGGACAGTAGACGTGGACCATCCACCACCAAGCCGATATCCACACTGTTCTTGACCTGGCTGTGTACCGAATTTTCAAACAGATGAGATAACTTGGTTTCACGGCAGTGGCCACTCTTTAATGTGTAGAGAAACAACTCCTTCGACTCTGCGGCTAAAAAAAAACCTGTTCGCGGCTTGCAAATGGCTTGGGCTCGACTCGAACGAGCGTCTTCTGGGTAAATCTTTTGGGACATCGGAAGTCATACAATGTGGACCTCCCACCACAGAGCCGAGGGTCCTTAGGTGATGTTATATCCGAGCTACGGATAAGAGGGCCGACCGACCAGTCGGACGGAGTTCCGAGATACCGGAGTGCGGAGTCGGAACGGAGCGGAGTGACGGAGTCGGGGGGAAAGGGTGACCGGAGGATCGGATGACGCTACACCACTAGAGAGCAGGATGAGCGTTACTACCCTTGGCCTCGGAGTACGGGATAGACAAGACGGAGCTCCGAGTGAAGTTCCGGAGCGTTAACTCAGATTACTTGCAGGGAGTGCGAAGCAACGTTAATAATAAATCTGAAGTACAGTGCTGTAGTCTAAGTGATTAAATACTAAAGGGTCTTATTGTAATACGGAAAGGAGATATGTAAGGTTCCATGCGGAAGTAACAATAAGGTTATATCCGAAAGGGGTGGAAGAAGTCAGGTGACTTGGAAGAAGTAGTTTGGACAATAAGTAAGAAGTCTTGAGCGAGGCGGACAATAAGGATGTCGCCTTATGGCGCGATACGGACCTCTGAAGGAAGTCCGCCGCGCTCCGTCGTTCCGTCTCCGCTCCGACGGAGCGGAGCCCGGAGTTAACGGAGCGATTCGGCCATCCTCGGACCTATGTCCGAAGGATCGGAACATGGATATAACAGTATCCCCCTCTTGGGTTCGACTCCCTAGGCGAACCTCAAGGGTCCGGAAGAATACTGCGTGAATGATCGTGAAATGGATTGTGGATAATTTAAAAATTGATGATGTGGAAATTCGCCAAATTTCTTCTGAGTCGCCAAGTGATCACGTGCACGATCACGTGTCCGATGCCATAAGTTGTTGACAGCAATCTTTTTCACTTCTCCTCCTACCACCACCACCAACCACTCCGCAGCCACCAACCCATGTCGAACACCACCAGCACCCAGGCAGGAGCACCCGGAGGAGGGAACGAGGGAAACGGGAGTGGAGCGAAGGGGAACGGAGGAGGTCGAGACGGAACGGGGAAGGAGAAGGTGGCGAGCGAGGAAGAGCGCCAGCGGGCCACGGCCGGGGCGCAGGCAGCGCGGACTGCGCACGCGAAGCGTCTGCAGACCCAGCTGGCTGCGTTGCAGCAGGCGCGCGAGGCCAAGTTGGCGGCGGCGAGAGAGTTGGAGGCGATGGGGGACGTCGTCGAGGACGACGAGCTCGCAACCATTGCGAGGAGGCTCTCGCTTCCTCCGGTGGAGCGAGTCATCGCGGGACCGACACGGCGTCGCGCCTCGGGGCGGACGGAGCGGACGCCGAGCTCGGACTCGGACGCGGGGTACGAGGCGGAGGATACGGAGGTGGACCAGCGGACTCCGGGGATGGAGCGCTTGGTTGGGGACGACCGTAAGTACCCGCAGTGCATTTTTATTTTATTCCTCTAATCTGATTTTTGCAGGGTGTTTGGAGTGCCGTCTACACGACCATGCGTGCTACACGCCCACCAAGCCTGATGGATGGCGGACGTGTCCGCGTTGTCAACGGGGGCACATCTCGTGCTCCCTGAACCCGACCACCACGCGCACGGTCCCACGGGCCAAGAAACAGGCGAGCGGAGCGGGAAAGTCGGGACAGGGGAAGAAGAGGAAGAGGGCGGTGAAGCAACCGGCGGCGGAGACAAGTGCGCGGCCGGTCCGACGACTTCGGAGTCGGCGCGCAGCGTCCCCGCGGCCTGGTTTGGGGTCCGGAGTGGGAACCGTCGACCGCGCTGCCGACGCAGCACTCCAGGAGCAAGTTGCCGTCGTCCGACGGGAGCTTGCTCGTCTGGACGATTTACTGGAGCGCCGGGGAGCAAGGGACGACGATGAAGACGACCAACCCGACATCGCGGAGGCCAAGCTGAGGTCGCTTGAGGATCTCCAGCGGTCTCGGGCGGAGCGGACCAAACGCAAGAGTCGTCGGGTTGTGGAGAGCGAGGGGGAGGACGAGATGGAGGTGGACCAGCCACTGGTGCGGGAGTCCGCAACCCCGGAGCGACAGCAGTCCGCTCCGAGGGCACCTTCCGCTGTTCCGCAAACTCCAGCGGTGACCCCGGGGCCTGACGCGGTACGGGAGGTAACCGCGACTGGGCCCAGGGTTGGGCGCTCGGAGCGCCTCGCTCCGCCAAACTGGGAAGCTCACCATTGGCCGAAGGTGGAGCCCGTGGACGCTCCCATCCCAGGGGGATCGGGTGCGTCCATGCGGAGCATCGTCGGGGCGGACCAGGTCGCAAGGGACCTGTTTCCCGGGACACCGGAGCGCGAGACTTCGACGCGGGCAGACGGCGGAGTGGCAGGGTCGACGGAGGAAGTATCGGGAGCTCCGCCTGCAGAGTTGAAGGCGGATCCGTTGGAGGGCGAGATACCCGGTGGGAATGCGGATGTTCCGCCGTTCGATTTAGAGGCGGAACAGGAGGTGATTGCGGGGGAGATGAGAATGGTCTGGGTTTTGGAGGATGACGACGATATGGACGTCGAGTAGATATTTTTTGCATGGATTTGTTGTTTTTTCTTGAAAATTGTATATAATAATCAGAACATAAACGGAGTGAATTAGAAACGGATCGGAGTGAATTAAAACGGAACGGGATGAACTCCGAAGCCTCGGACCGATGCTCAATCGGGTCCGGGCTTGTCGGGATAACGGAGGTGGAAATTCTCCAAATGTTCCGGAGCGTCGATGTCTTTAGAACCAACCCAGCTGTATTGGTCGTCGGTGTTTTCATAACCGAGCCACTCAACATAATAGCGGAGTTTGTCCGTCTTGAACCTCCGATCGTACTTGGAGTCGACGATTTGCTTGATTTCGTAATGCTCGTCGCCGTCCACGATCTCCACTGCCGCCGGAGGAGGTTCCTCGCGCCCGGGGAATGGATTCGGATGATGGGGTTCAAGTTGGGAGACATGGAACACCGGGTGTACCTGCGCGAGTGACTTCGGCAGGCGGATGGTGTAAGACGCAGCGGAAGGCTTTCCGATGACTTCGTATGGTCCGAGGAAGTTCTCGGAGAACTTGCGCGTCGGACGAGTCGTTCGGAGGAACTTAGCGGAGACGAAAACTTGATCACCAATCTCGAGTTTGGGGTCCGGAGAGCGTACGCGGTCTCCGGTCTCCTTATACCGAGTCTGGGCGTAGGTGATTTGTTCTCGGAGGAACTCGTGAAGTTCCTGCAAGTCCACGACATAGTTCCGGGCATAGACGTTCGCGACATCAACCTCCGGATGAACGGTGATCGCGGGGTCATAGCCTTTGTTGGCGAAAAACGGAGAGATGCCGGTAGAAGCGTTCGGAGCGTTGTTGAGAGCAAACTCGCATAGCGGAAGGAGTTTGTCCCAGTTGTCCTGTTGATAGGAGCAGAAGATCCGAATGTACTGTTCCACTGTCTGGTTCATCCGCTCGGTTTGTCCGTCGGCCGAGGGGTGATAACCGGATGTATAGTGCATCTTCATGTTGAGCAATTCGCCAAGCGAACGGAAGAAAGCGGAGATGAATTCCTTGCCCCGATCGCACGTAACATGCGACGGAACTCCGTGTTTAGAGAAAACATGGATAAGGAAGAGTTGGGCGAGTTGGACCGAGGTGATATAGATATCGCAGGGAATGAGAATAACCTGTTTTGACGCACGGTCCACGATAACCAAGATGGCATCGTATTCGCCGGATAGCGGAAGTTGCTCGATGAAGTCCATAGAGATTGAATCCCACGGACGGAGCGGTACCGGAAGAGGTTTGAGAAGTCCGTACGGTCGGTGTCGCGGAGCCTTGTTCCGTTTGCATAGGATACACGAACGACAGTAGTCCCGAACGAATGTTCGGAGCTCCGGCCAAGTGTACTCGCGGCGGACAAGCGCAAGCGTTCTGTTCTGTCCGAAGTGACCGGCCAGGACATGGTCGTGCAGATACTGCAGGACACGCACGCGGAGTTGGTCCGGAGCGTCGCCTGGTACTGCAGGAACCCAAATGCGGGTGTCATAGCGGAGCATACTGGAGTCGTCGAGTGTCCAGCGTGAGGGCTCCGGAGAGGTAGCGGAGTCGAGGCCAGCCGCTCCGATGGGATCAAGAGGTACGTTGGTCTTGATATCGGAATGAAGCTGGTCAACGTCCATGACAACCGATGCGCGTAGGACAATTTCTTCCAGGAATGTCGCTCGGAGTGACGCTCCAAGTTGATCTTGGGTGAAAATGGGGCGAAAATTGTGAGGATTTAATTGCGTGTAACGCGTATCCCCCTCTTTTGGGTAGACGTCCCATCGTCTAGTTAAAGCGTCAGGTTTCCCTCCGAGTCGACCCGGTCTAAACCGGATCACCATATTGAAATGGCAGAGGTACTCCGACCACCGGACTTGGCGCCGAGTAAGTACTTTAGTCGTCGCGAAGTATTCCAGATTTTTGTGGTCGGTGACAACGTCAACGGGGAGGTCCGGGCCTTCGAGATAGTGCCGCCATTGCGTGAAGGCGTCGAAGATGGCCAGGAGCTCTTTATCGTGAGTGTCGTAGTTGAGTTCCGCGCCTCCGAGGGTCCGTGACCAGAACGAGACGGGGTGGATTTCTCCGTCGTCTCCGGTGATGGACAGGATAGAGGCGATGGCGTAGTCGGAAGCGTCGGTTTCGACAGTGATTTGTCGGCCCGGGATCCAGTGCGACAGCACCGGAGCTTCCATAAACTTTGCCTTGAGGGTCTCGAACGCGGTCTGACAGGCGTCGGACCACTCCCAACGGGAGCTAGCCCGAGTTAGACGCGTGAGAGGTATCGTGATGTCGGAGTAATAGGGGATGAAACGCCGATAG